CTTTTAGCATTTGCTACTCACCCATCTTGATTGCGTTCCCCACTTGGCATCAGAGGAGGAAAATTGCAGCCCACTTGAGGAAAGCAGCAGTGCCTGGGGTTTAACTCCTGGGTGCTTCTGACGAGTCATTTTTGAGCAGTGCTGGCTGGCGGGGCGCCACGTTTAGACTCATTGTCTTTAGACAAAGAGAAGAATGATATTTTCAGCTGCAGTTGCTTAATTGCAGTCAGAACAAAGATATGGACAAAAACTGTCCCAAAATAAGGCCTACATACTGCAATATTACCTGTTGCTTAGTAAAAATCAAGGCAGTCAGGAGAACCAAATTCCTAGCATGGAATTTCCTAAATGTCCCCAAGGAGCACTTGGCAGAAGGGCTGTGTGTTGCCCAAGCCCAGAACTGGGTTAGTTTGGGACACACATAGAGGGATAGTTGTTAAAGTCAGAAAAACATTCAGGAAGGAGAGGGGATCTGGATGGAGGAGATCCGTATGGAGTCCTAGGGGGCTATAGGGGGCCCTAGGGGGTCTCTACAGGTCTCTACAGGGTCTTATGGCATCCTATGGGGATCTATGGGGTCTCTATGGGGTTTCTAGGGGCTCCTAGGGGTTCCTTATTGGATGTGTATGGGGCCTATAGGGTCCTAGGAGGTTATAGGGGGTCCTAGAAAATCTGTATGGAGTCCTAGGGGATTATAGGATGTCGTAGGGGGTCTCTATGGGTCTTTATGGACTGCTAGGGGGACCTATGGGGTCTCTATGGCATCTTTATAGGGTGTTAGGGGGTTCTATGGGATTTCTAGGGGGTCCTAGAGGCACCCTATGGCGTCCTAGGGTTCTCTATGGGGTCTTTGTGGAGTCCTATGGGGCTCTATGGGGTAGCTATGGCATCTCTATGGGGCCCTAGGGGGTCCCTGTTGAGTCTCTATGGGTCCCATGGGGTCCAAGGAGGTTATAGGGTGTCCTAGGGACTCTCTATAGGGCCCTAGGGGATCCTGTGGGCTTTCTAGGGGGTCCTAGAGGGCCCTATAGGGAGCTAGGGGATTATAGGGGGTCTTTGTGGAGTCCTGTGTTGTCCTATGTGTCTCTGTGGGGTCTCTATGGGGGCAAAGAAAGCCCTATGGGTCTCTGTTGGGTCCTATGGGGTCTAAATGGGGTCCAGTGCAGTCTCTGTGGGGTCCTGTGGGTCTCTATGGATCTCTATGGGGTCTCTATGGGGCCTCTGGAGTCCTAGACGGTTATAGGGGATTCTATGGGGTCTCTATGAGTCTCTATGGGGGCCTATGGGGTCTCTATGGGGTTTCTAGGGAGTCCTAGGGGATCTCTATAGGTCTCTATCAGGTCCTAAGAGGTACTAGGGGGTTTCTAGGGTGCCCTAGAAGGTTATAGAGGGTCCTAGGGGGTCTCTATAGGTCACTATGTGGTCCTAGGGGGACCTGTGTGGGTCTAAGGGGTCTCTAGGGGGTTTCTAGGGGGTCCTTGGGGGCCTCTATGGGGTCCTAGGGGGTCCTATAGGGGTGTGTAGGGGGTCCTGGATAGTCCTATTGGGCCCCATGGGGCCCTGTGTGGTCTCTGTGGGGTCTCTGAGGAGTCCTATGGGGTCCTATGTGGCCCTGTGTGGTCTCTATGGGGTCTCTGCATGGCCTGTGGGTACAGGGGTGGTCTCTGTGGAGTCTCTGTGGAGTCCTATGAGGCCCTATGTGTTCTCTACGGGGTCAATGGGGTCCAACAGGAGGTCCTAGGGGATCTCTAAGGGTCTCTATGGGGTCCTAGGGGTTTATAGGGGGACTCCAGGGGGGCTCTGTGGGGTCTCTATGGGGTCTGTATGGGACACTCGGGTGTCCTGGTTTCCTGCAGGGCGGCCGGGTGCCAGGAGCAGTTCTGGGCTCGCGCGGCAGATGGTGGTGGTGCTGCACCGTGCTCCGCAGCGCCACAAAGCCACGTCCGGGCCTGCACGCGCGATCCCAGCTCCAAAAACCTGTCCGAAGGCTTCTACTCGCGCTGTATCCCGCAACCAGGGAATTCCGAGGTAGGACGTGCTCATCTGGGGTCAGTGACAACAGTTCCTGGCTGTGCAGAAGTCAGATAAATGGCCTCACCAGCAGATCGATCTGTCAGCAGAGAAAAGGTGGATATGGTCAGGGTTTATTTTCTCTCAATGCAGTAAACCTCTGCATCCTGAATGAGAGATAGTATCAAGTTTGGTGTAAAAGAAAGGGAGCTTCGTGCCAAAAGTTTAAGAAAGCAGAAGTTAGTGACTAAAAGAGATGATATTTTCAGCAGCATTTGCAGTTCCTTGATCATGCATGGATATAATCTTCTATCCAGACGCACGACAGCCCACTTTTAACTCTGGAAAACCTAAAAACCTGACCTGCATCATGGATGAGGTAAAGGCAGTTTTGCCAGGGCCTTGAGGACAGACCTCAGTTTGTGAATCTGTGACATAAATATTTCGTATTCCTTTGGAGGCAGAGCTGCTCATGTTCTTTTCCTTCTGAGAATTACCAGGCACCTCTGAAAGGGCACTGGAGTAGCCATCAGATAAGACTGGCCACCAGCCACTGCAGAGTAGCCCAAGATCCAGACTATTACTTATTTTAAAGATCCATTTTCCGTGACCGACTGGCTGTTACTCATAAACTCCCATGCGCTGGGGTCGAGCAGACCTGCAAACCATGCGGGAGAGGTGCTTGGAGGAAGATGCGTTGATAAAAGCCTGGAGCGCAGCGCCGCAGCCGCCCGCAGCAGCCGCCGGCTCCTCGCCCTGCACGAGCGCCGGGGTAAGAGTTCATTTCGCTCTGCTCTCTGCAACAGGTTTGCACTGAGACGGGGGCAGCGCGGCTTGGGATTTAAACATGACCTTCATCTACTCGCTTCGTTTTAGATGCTACTTTCTCTCTTATCACTATTGCTGTGAATGCAATTTATATGCATATACATATATCTTTGTATATTCTCTTGCGTCAGTTACGTTATTTGGAATGTCTTGGCTGGGACTTGGTGGTGCAGTGGGAAGCCACCCGTTTCCCAGCTCAGTGGCTTCTATGGCACTCGTGTTAGAGGACGGGGGGTTTGGGAGGGCTGTGGGGTTTTTTTGTTTGTTTGTTTTCTATATCATCAATATATCCTCCCCTAAGGCTTTCGGAAAACCAGGAGTACAGGAGAAAGTTACAGTTTGGACTCAGCTTATCTCCTCCTGCCCCAGTCTCTGGGGTACCTGTGGGCTGTTGGAACGTAAAGGGCTAATTTAACAAATTTGTGACTGATATTTTCAGTGTAACTTAGCAAGAAATCCTTTTCTTAGCCTCTCTTCATCACATATGTTAGGCTTTTAAGTCCTGTATCTGGCCGTGACGTTTCAATTAGGTCAAATGAAAAGACAGGTAAAGTAAATGAATTTCCTTTGAGACCTAATTTAATCTCCAAAGAACAAACATGGAGTAACAGATCTAGAGATTACTATAGATAAGCTACTGGCTTGATTTGTGCTTTGAGTCCTCGCAAGAAGACTTAAACGATGCCTTGAAGCAGGGAGCAGATGTCTCAGGAGACTGGAAACGGGTTATAGAGCACTCCATCTCCTGACTACTTTTTCAAGTGCAGGGCTGACAAAACTACCCTCTTTGGCAGCAAATTGACCTCGAGAGCTGCTTTCCCAAGGGAGAAGCCTGGGCTGTGGGAGGTCATAACTCATATAAAACTTTGGGGATCCTGCACTGAGTTTCCTGGCTTCCCCTGCTCCCTTACCCTGGCCAAAGAGCCTCTGAAATAAGACTCAAAGCCCATTAAAGACCAAAGCCTGTGGAGGAAATGGGAAGATTCCCGTTACCTGTGTTTCCCAGTGGACGTTTCTGCAGACCGTGTTCTTTAAAGGCTACCGGGGATCGTCGGCCTCGAGCAGCAGGAAGGGCCGGAGCTGCAGCCATGCCCTGGCCCGTGGAGAAGGTCTCGTGGCGCTGGCTGCAGGAGCGCAGGGAGTCCCGGGCGCTGGTGCTCGTGGTGGTGTTCGTGGCGCTGCTGCTGGACAACATGCTGCTCACGGCCGTGGGTATGTGACGTGTTTCCCATGTCCCTGCTCACGGCCGTGGGTGCGTGGGGCCTTTCCCGTGTCCCTGCTCATGGCCGTGGGTACGTGGGGCCTTCCCGTGTCCCTGCTCATGGCCGTGGGTGCGTGGGGCCTTCCCGTGTCCCTGCTCAGGGCCGTGGGTACGTGGGGCCTTCCCGTGTCCCTGCTCAGGGCCGTGGGCACGTGGGGACCT